AACCCCCCTTGGCAAATCCTGGCTACGGGCCTGATTTGTTATTATCAGATTCAATGATAATCTGTTATCCCATGGCTTTATATATATTTAAAAACATATTTTATCCCTAATACTTGGATATGCCTGAGGCATATAAAGCAGGTTTGTAAAATCCTGTATTTTCAGCAGCTGTCAGGATATAGCTTCCCGGCTGACATTAAAGAAAAATCAAAAACTAAAGTTTTGCTCTAAAATAATGTTTTGGATAAAAATAATAAAAAACCTCGGGCAGATAGATTATCTTGGCCTTGGGATAATCCCAATATCTTGAACCTCATATAAGATAATCTATTTAGTGTCACTGATGTCAATGTGTGTTATATCCTAGGCTTGTGATATCTAAACCTAGATATATGCAGATGCCATATCATTCAGATAGCTGCCAGTACCTTCTGTTACATAAACAGAACTTTCTCTTGAATATGGAATATGTTTAAAAACCATTGACATATATAATAGGTTTGCACTTGAACAGATCAATGCTTCAGCCATCCATGTATATTTATGGAATTTCCTGCGTGTTCGGCTTGGGTAGTGACAGTAGCAGAATTGAATACTGTAAAACCTTTGCATTTGTTTGACTTCCCTTCTTAAAAGAGAGCTTCACCTTCACATAAAAGCTGTCTAATCAGAATGCCACTGGAGCAAGCCAAAAGTGTCCAAATGAGCAGGTGTTTACATTTAATAATGCCAGTCCATGAGAGATAACAAAACTTTTGAGAAAAGTTTTCAAATTGAGAAGTGTTAAGATTAGAGAGTTATTCGGATATATCGTTTTCACCCTATATTATGGAGCTGTCACACTTAACTCGGAAATGCAACTATCGCCTGTCAGCTATCGGATTAACCTACTATTCTATGGATAACTCATTTATATATGAATAGTACCTGCCACTATTCCGTTCATACTTACATGAATTGGTCATGAAATAGTAGGTCAATCAAGTAGCCAATAGGCGTTAGTTGCATTTGCGAATTCAAGGATAGACTATGTAGACTCACCATTCACCATCATGTGATATAGATATATGGTAGATGAAACAAATAGTTTTACAGTAGGATATCCATCATGCTAAACACAAGAATTAATTAATTGAATTAATGCCCAAAATTAGCTGCAAGGTGGCAAACAGTGAGCCCACGCGGCTAATGTTATAGCTACCTTTAACATAATATATCTTGACCCTACTGTCCCTACAGTGCTAGTAGACCAAGGTTTTGTTATACATGGAGCTACTCTACCTGAGTATTAAAGCACCTTGACTAGCAGTAAGCTGAGACTCTCTCTGTCAAAAATAACTTAGTGTTTTAAGCGAGAGGTAAAAATAGTGAAGTTAATTAAAGTAACCAGGGGTCTTAAAGCATTAACTCAGTAGTGAACAGCCACGAGAAGTGATCTACGTAACATCCAGAGTTAATAGTAATCTACAGTGATAGGTTCTAGCGTAGTAGCAAATCAAAAGTTCGTTATTAATCTAGGGCCTTTAGAGACAGCTCTGTACATATATGCTCTCTCTGATCGTATTCACTAGAGAGTTGTCCACAAACAATGGTTTTACTGTGCACACATTCTAGGCACAGAGAATTTAATATACTTTAATCTGGCAAGACAAGATAGTTCAACTTCATAGATGGTTGGTTGAAAGCTACAGTTTATTAAAAGAACTTTTATCGTGCCCTTGGTGCGGTGTGCATTCAGTTCAGACGTAAACCTCATTTCCAACATCAACTTATTTATGGATTCTCAATAAAAGAACAATATTACGAGAATTTGACCCAGATAGTAAGAATTAAAATCTGATTTCATTGAGCTATTCTGATAGGAGGGCCAAAGGTGATCGTTAATGACCCTGGGCCAGGGCAATGAGTTTGAAAATGAACATAGCCGTAGCCAGCTCTTACCAAGTACTTTTCAAAAAATTCAAAATTCCAGGCGGTGTACATTTGACAAGTTTGGCTCAGAATGGTGAAAAACTACATGATTCCAAATAAATTTTTATCCAGGATTTGCTCGACTTCCCCCCCCCCCCCCACTGGCTACGCACCTGGGAAACCAACCATTGGGCTAAGTGTGATATATTAAAGGCAGAAAATGAGAAAGAGAGGATAACAAAATTGCAAACATGATAACTTACCAGATGCAGAAGTTATCTAAGATTCAAAGTGCAAATGTTTGAAATTCTTTATTTACAGTGATCTCCCTGTATTAAAGCAAGTGGGCGCAGCACCCACCTGAGATTTTAAAAACAGGCTTGCACCCACCTGAAAATCCATTTGCACCCACTTGAAAATTAGAAAAATCTTGAAAAACAATATGAATATTTTGACCAATATCTCTGAATTGTGAAGATTTGTGCACCCACTTGAAAAAAATTATGTGGAGAACAGCGATTTATATATAAATGAACACATGTATTTTAGTTCCTGGAATATAGTACATGTACGAACTTTAGGAATTTTTTTTTTATTCACTGCCAGAGATAATCTAACTTGTTTTGAAGGTGTTCCACAGTTGGTGTTTGGTGGTTTTTGTTTTTTTTCTGTAACAAATGGAAGGTGATGACATTTTGCATGTAAATGCCTTGTTTATTAATAGATGACAAAATTGTTTTAAAGGTTGCTTGCTAGATCTGTTCTGGATTTTAACCTTGACCATGGTTACTAGCGTGATTCACTTGCACATACGATCTCCAGGGTAGAATTGGCTAGAAGGGTGTGGTCCCACAGGTGTGTGGAAACAGGATGTACCATTCTTTTTATTATCAGTGTATACACAACATTCGTTTTATTCAGTGCCAGAAATCATGTTTATTCTAGAGTAATTTATTATTCTTATAGTTCGCTAGGGAAATGGCTTCACTCGCATACACAGAATATCTCATCCCGTATCAAACACACGTTATCAATTCTGCCATTTAGTGCATCCTTCATTTCCAACGTAAATTCTCATTGGTTGATTCTGGTCACATGTATTTCATGGCTTGGGAAGTACAGTCCTCCTCTGTTTTGCTACAAAGATTATCACTTTTCTGTTTTGGATCATTATTTGTAAATATCTGTAAATCGATTCATGGAGATTAGATTTTATTGCTTTGAGTCGGGATGATTTGTTCAGATTGACATATAAAATATCTAGGCTGATGTCCTCCAAAAAGTCTCCTGGTGTAATACATGTAGTTAAATTCCTCTTGTGCTTCATGCCATCAGGTTATAAGGAGCCCCAGTTTATCTCTTCACTTTACATAGGGCCCAAGCTTTATTTTCAGGCTACACGGGGCTTGGGCCATCATTAGAAGCTATAAGGGGCTAGGCTACCTTTTCAGGCTACAAGGGGTCATTAGAGGCTATAAGGGGCTGGGCTACCTCTCAGCTTATAAAGGGCCCAATCTGTTATGAGACAAAAATGGGCTGTATGCATATTTTCCAAGGCCCATCTTTCTAAGTCTCCTTCCTAAGGACCAAGGGCTTGCTCCCTAAAAGTTCCATCTTAACATGGCTCCGACCCCCCCCCCCCCATCATATGTACTGCTGAAGAATGCAGAGTATTTGATGCACAATAGATGCAGTGTTAGTCAGTTCTTACACAGGCTTCTCTTGAAAGCCCATGGTCTAAATGATAATGTTCAGTTGCAGCTGAAATCTTGGCATATTGAAGCCTGTTATTTAAACCATTTGTTTGGAATTTATTTATTTTCAAAATTATCTTTATCAAAACACTGTGATTGAAGTGTTCATGCTGGAATATGTTTGCGTAAGATATCTCTGTTTTTATTCTGTATCATTCCAAAGATGAAATATTTGCAACTTGTAGCACTGTTTAACATATGAGAATCAAGCTTTTTATTTCATTTTTTATATGTTCCAAAATTACATTTTTATTTCTCCACATCTGTTCACGTTTATAGCAGCTGTTATAATTGCCATTTTACTATTCTTGGTTAATAATTTAGTAATTTTCATTTTGCATTATCGATATATTCAGAAAAATGTAACATAAAAGTGTGACATAAACTTGATTTGTGAGGTGACAATGCACATTTCTTATAGGGCTTATTAAACATTTCAATTCATTTGTTATAAATCTATTTTTAGATTTGTTGGTAGTACGAAGTTATTGCAAACAATATTGTATTTGGAGTAACAGTACATTCATATTATAGATACACATCTTTCTAGAAAGTACATTTCAGTGGAATAATTCTTATATTTTTATTGAATATTTCCCAAAAGTATATTTTCATGGAGTTAAATGTATTTTCATTGTATATTTCCAGAAAGTACATTGCTGTGGGGATAATTGTCATATATTTTCATTGTATATTTCCAGAAAGTACATTGCTGTGAGGATCGATTGTTATCATATTTTTCATTGTATATTTCCAGAAAGTACATTGTTGTGAGGATCGATCGTTATCATATTTTTCATTGTATATTTCCAGAGAGTACATTGCTGTGAGGATCGTTATCATATTATTTCATTGTATATTTCCAGAAAGTACATTGCTGTGAGGATAATTGTCATATATTTTCATTGTTTATTTCCAGAAAGTACATTGCTGTGAGGATCGATCGTTATCATATTTTTCATTGTATATTTCCAGAAAGTACATTGTTGTGAGGATCGATCGTTATCATATTTTTCATTGTATATTTCCAGAGAGTACATTGCTGTGAGGATCGTTATCATATTATTTCATTGTATATTTCCAGAAAGTACATTGCTGTGAGGATCATTGTCATATTTTTCATTGCATATTTTCATAAAGTACAATATTTCATTGTATATTTCCAGAAAGTACATTGCTGTGAGGATCATTGTCATATTTTTCTATTGCATTTTCTATTCCATAAAGTACAATGTTTCATTGTATATTTCCAGAAAGTACATTGCTGTGAGGATCATTGTCATATTTTTCATTGCATATTTCCATAAAGTACAATGTTTCATTGTATATTTCCAGAAAGTACATTGCTGTGAGGATCATTGATGATGAACAATATGAGAAGAATGAGACATTCTTTGTTGAACTCGGGGAACCCAGATTAGTGAGGAGAGGCTCAGGTGAGAATCTACTCTTTTGCAAATATGTTATTTGATTCTTTTCTTTATGAAATTTTATAAGCAGTATATTAAATCGTATAAGATTTATAAATGGTGTAATATTTTCTAGATATTAATCATTATGTGATTCTTTACAGTAATATACACATATTTTACAATTATTATAACCTGGTTGTATCTCATTAGTTAGACCCCAGCTTTGTATCGTAATATATACCTCCCAATGAAAGATATAGATGTATCAGATAATGAAGTGCATGATGGAATTCATGAAGTTCATGAAGCAATAATAGATTAAGCAATGATTTATAACATGCTACCAAAGCCTTGCATCATGGCTTCAGGCCCATAGCCAGCCTTTTCCAGGGGGTGGGTCAGTCTATGAAAATCACTTGAAAAGCACTCAAAATGGTGAAAACTGCAAAATTTTGTAATATTTTTATTTTCGAAGCCCCGGAAAATCCCTGGCTGTTGGCCTGGCTTTAATGCCACCTAAGAAGATAGTACAGGAAATTCGCAGAAAGTCATTGTCCAAACATCTTTACAGGCATCATGATATCTCAAATCTTCTCAGCCCTGAGATGCCATGGTATAATGAGCTTGATTTGGCGATCCAGGAGAGGCCAAAATTGAGGATTTTTGAGTATCAGAATGCTTTACAGGGAGGAATTTAAAAAGTACAATTCAGTCGTTAAACTAAAGCGACATAAATCGTCTGACATGAGAACTAAAATGCTTGTTTTGTAAAATTAAATTAGAATCAATTTTGCAATTAAAAACTGTCAATTATTATCTTAGGACGAGAAGATGGATTTGCAATGGATTTAATTTGTACATGTCAAAATAGATGTCTCCACATCCTAAACTTGCATTATAGTTTCTACATATCACATTTAGTAATACGGGAGTTATACGCTTGCAATGTTTTTCACAACCTAAATGCCCTAAACGTGAAAACAAAATTTTGAAGCGATGCATTTGTATTGGCGATTGGTCATACCTATAGGTTGGTGTTTTGATTTTATATGCAAGCTTAAACTCCCTAATATTACAAGCCAACAATGGGACCAATTTATTTTAAGCTGTCATCATATTTATAGGTGTTAGCAAAATACATGTTAATCCTAAAACAAACCTGTCCTTCCTTCTTTTGCGAGATCAATTTCATAACACAAAAAAGCTTGTAAAAATTGAATCTGGCAAAACAAGGTTATTCAAAGACAGAGGACTCCGAAAACCATTTAGCTTACTTAATCCAGTAAACTAATTAGCAAACTTTGTCTTATATGCTTTTATGGTTTTAAGATCCCATGCATGGCTTCACTTTAAGAGATGCATACATTCAGACATCCTTAGTAGAAAAGTTATGTCCAAATAATGCTGCAGCTGCTATATTCATGTACTCTCTACTTGCTAATAATCTTTGAAACCATTTAATTAGGTATTTGACAGTGAAAATATTATGAAAAATGTTATCTTGACCTACTTTCTTTTCAATATGAGTGCTACAACTGCTTGCTTTAGCATTATATATTGAGGGAAAATGCCCAAATCATACTTAGAAGATATGAATCTACTTGTAGAGATAGAATGTATGTATGATGATGTAACTTTCAAGAGCTATCAAAACATAAAGGCTATTTGATGATAATCCAGAAATTATGTAAGATTATATGTCTTCTCTGATACTGGCAATGTTAAATAGAGCTGTAATGATGGCAATTTTGAAAAATCTGACATTTAGTCTATGTGATAGTACAGTAAAACCTGGATATTGTGAACACCTATGGAGCCACACAAAGAGATTGGATGTGTCTTGAAGTGATGTTCACTAAACACAGGTGTTCACAAGAGAGAGAGTTGTTCACTAAGACAGGTTTTGCTGTAAGTGGAATCAGAAGTAAAAATTGGGCATTTACAAAATACCAGTAGAAAAATATTTGAATAGACTACATTACTCCTTTAGTCATGGACTTCCTTCTGGAAGTCCATGCTTTTACCCATTCTAAGATTTCTACCTCTAAACTTACAGTTACAAATATATTGTTTTGTGCTGACCAGGCCTGAGAACATTTAGAATGCAGGAAATCCTTAGTTGATATGAAGAGTCCTTTATGTCAAACTTTTTATTAACAGATATATTAATAGACTCCTATGTTTTTAAACAGATGACGGGTCATCAAATATTAGTAAGTTGAATGAGTGTGTGGCCAGAAGTTCCCTTAAAGTAGGAAATATTCACCATTATCAAGCTTTTGTCATGCTTCTGAATGTGGCCTGATTGTCCCAGACCTTTGAATTTAGCAATAGGTTGGGAAAAGGCGGGTCATCATCCATGAAATGGGTATGGAGAGATTTGGAAGGGTATACTTTTTAATAATACATCCTATCAGTACAAAGTTGATAATTGCAATGCAATATTAATCTCTTATATTACATCATTAGATGTATGGTTTTGTTTCTGATACTCCTGCAATTATCCTAAACAGTGAAATAGACATATTAGGGAGTTTAAGCTTGCAATGTTTTTCAAAACTTAAATAAAATGTGAATGGAAAATATTTAAGCAATAGATTTGTACGGGCGATTGGTCATACGTATAGGTTGGCGTTTTGATTTTATATGCAAGCTTAAACTCCCTAATAATACAAAGTAATAAGTGACCAAATGTGTCATTGCACATTCCAGCCTATTACTCTGCAAAAAATATTCTTGATCAGCTCAAAAATAGTGTACTTTTGACAAATTTTTATTTCAAATCGGGTATAATTTTGTGCAATATCACCCAACAAGATTAACTAATTAATTTTGATGTTGAACATTTAACCCTGAATCACCATATTCTGCAGGAGCTACATTTTTTACTTTCTAGTCCTTATTCCAGTCATGTGGGATAAGTAGTAGCCTATCAATACATGAGTCCTTTGAACATTACATTCTTTGAACCCTAAGACAAGATAATTTCCAATTATTGACCGATAGTTACTTTCTATAGGAAAATGGCAAAAGCTTGATGTGGTTTTATACTGGAAATTGTATCAAGTTCTTTTGGGTCCTCTTTGGGGCTCTTTATAAGGGAGGATGCCCAGAGAACACCATAAGAGCCTAAAATGACTTGATGCAATTTCTTGTGGTTTTATGAGTTTCCTTGCATCTAGTGACAAGGTAGATGAGAAATCTTACGGGGTTTTATATTAGGTCAGGTCGTGTGTGTGTGACTTTGTGCGACTGTGGAGATTTTAACAGCAATAAACAAACTTATCAATTATTTTTTGGGTTGGGATTTCTGAAAATTGACTTTATTGACAGCAATGATATCTCCAAACCACAGCCCATCATTGCTCATATGATCCCATCGTGTGTGTTGAATAAGAAGTTACTACATAAATGGTCATCCATCCATGTGGTGTGCTGAATTTTATGTTATATAACTTGCATGTGAATGTCAGTAAATACATTGAAATAATTTAACGGTGTGATTTGTGGCGGACGAAGCTCTGTGGTCCATGATTTAATTAACGGACCTATTTGTAGTTATTTGTTTTCCAGTTTTGTAGTGACTTCCAGCTCATTATGATGATTCCACTGTAATTGAGATGTCCATCCCTGACATATTCCTTTTGCCCACAGTGACCTTTCCCCAGTTTACCTTGTAATATCATTGGTGACAGTAGCACCAAATGAGTTTGACAAGTTTTTCTCCAAACCTTTGTTATTTATTTTATATTATGTAACAAAATATATTATTAATGTTTATCATTTATGGTTTTTCAGGCAAGCATGGTAAGATAGTGATTCTCCTGAATTTACCTATGTTTAGAACCTCCTGGGGTGTCATGATTACATCTGGTTGGTCATGGATATCGAATTAACCCTTTTACTCTCAAGAAAATATTTTGCCCATCTTTGGAACTTGTCAGAAAAGGGTTAAGATGATATTAGGGTGTTGTTTAGGTCCTGAGTTTACACATACTCAAGTTCTGAGTTTCCCTTTTTTCAAATATCAACTCATGATTCAAACTCCTTCTTAAAAACTAATTTTAGCCTCATTATATGCGTTTTAAAAACATGTAACAGTCTATAAGTCCACACCTATATTCCATATGTGACACACATGATTGGCTGATTCAGTTGTCAATCATCGTGTAAGACACATGATTGGCTGTTTCAGTTGTCAATCAACTTATAAGATAACTGCTAATGTCCCATATAATATACATGATTGGCTGTTCAAGTTGTCAATCAACTTACAAGTTAACTCCTATATTCCATATAATACACACGATTGGTTGTTCCAGTTGCTCCTCGCCATTCGCTTATACCTCTCCCTGCAATACGTAAGTTCCCAAAGAGTAAAGCATCATGGAGTTTCCGTTTCCAGTTATATTTGTGTTTTAGCCTATTGTACTTCATCCTAAGTCATTTATACCTCATTAGGAAGACATTTTGAATATTTTGGAATGTTTCATAATTACCCTTAGTAACCACATTTCCATCACCTTTTGTACTGATCTGCATGGTGTGGACTGACAAGCAATATATATATAAAAAATATAGCCGATGTTTCCATTGTTCTACCATTCATGTAGTTGATTCTGGGGTGACAAGGAATTTGTGAACCACCTTAAGATTATTTGATGATTAGAGGGGGATTAGTGGGAGATTAGTTGGGGATTAGTGGGAGATTAGTGGGGGATTAGCGGGCGATTAGTGGGCAATTAGTGGGTGAAACTGGGAAATTAGCTTTACATGTAGTGTGGTCTTTCCAGCATATAGGCCATGCTGACGCTGGCGTGTGAATAGAGAGTGACTTGGCTACTTATGTAATAATAGATGTTGGAGTCCATTCCTAGTCTCAGTAACAATGTCATCTTACCAAGCACATCCTTTAATCATAAAAGTGTGTCACTGAAACATGTTTGTCATGCCCATATGGTCTGATGATTCATATTCATAAAAAATCAGTTATTGATCAATACTCTGTGCAATCTAGTTACAAA